TTCAATGTATATATGTATATATGTGAGTACAAATACACAAATCATGCACAAAGGCCAAGAGTGAGAATCTGGAAATTTTGATCAGTTGAGAGTTTCTATATTTTTATGTGTTTTACATATCATTTCAGTTGGAATTTGGAAAAACTCATAAGACCAAAGTTGTAGGTCTCTTCAACAGCTTTCCAACGAATCTTTAATCACCTCATTCCGAGGTTGTATCAGAAAGTTATGGCTATTTTACCGAACCTCAATCTGTGTGCAGACTGTCAGATGGTCGACCACAGGGCGTGCAGACGCCAGTTTCAGTTCCGTTTCGGGTTGGTTTTGTTTATACCAAACCCGGTTGTTACCCTAGGTATAAATACTCGTTTTGAAGCTCTCAGAACCCTCAACCCTCTTTTGAAGCCTAATAGCCTCAGCCCCCCTTCTCTCTCTCCTCTCAAACCCTAGCTTTGTTTTTGGTGATTTTTGAGGAGTTCGAAGGATTTGCGACGGATTTTTGTGTGGATCAGCAAAGGGGATCATTCTCTTGTGAATCCAGGAGCTTTGTTCACCTCAGAGGCGAGTAACATCTCGCCCAATCTCTCACCCATGTTTTTACAAGCTTTTCTAACGATTTTAATGAGTTTTCTTGAGCCTAAATCACTACTTTGCGTATATAGATAGATCTTTATGATATAAGATGTGAAAACCAAGTATTTTCAGTTTTCAAATACTCACCAATGATTTTGGTTAAAGAGATCTAAATCTAAAAATGCTTTATTAAGAGTTAAAATTTCGATTTACTGTTTTATAACTTTTAAATCATGTGTATATAAGCTCACAAATCTTGGTGATGTTTTTGTTTACATGCTAGATGTTATTATATGATGATTCATATGTATTACAATGTGTAATATATTGTTTGGAAGCGTGGGTGTATTGTTTGGATCGATTTCGAAGCAGAACAGAAACCTGGAAAAGCTTCTGTCCGTTTCGCGGTCGACCGCGTGTGACGCGGCGGTCGACCGCTGGGCGTTCTGTCGAGCAGAATGATCGAGACACGTGCGAGTTTAGGATATGTATATCTTTCCACATATATCTTTGACAATTGCACCTCTTTACTTATAGTCCATGTGTTGGATACTCATCATTTCGGTCCATGTGTTGGGCATACATTATTATTAATCCATGTGTTGGATACTTATCATTTCGGTCCATGTGTTGGGCATACATTACTATTAATCCATGTGTTGGATACTTATCATTTTAGTCCCTGTGTTGGACATGCATTACCTTTAGTCCATGTGTTGGACATTTGCTAAACCTTGAGCATGATACATATTTGAGTTTAGAGCACGACATATTTATTAAGTTTGGACATGATAGCTACCTAGGCTGGACATGACACTTATTGTGGCTTTGACATGGTTACATTTATCAATAGAGATGAGTTGTATTCTTTTCTTTATTGCTTCTTGTATTAGACCTCGGGTTTAGTATTTAGGGATTTACAATTTGAGATACAATATATATACATGAGGGTTTCCTTGTTTGGATTATTTCGCTCGACGTACCTATGTTCGTGTTGTAATATCCTAAGTACCAAAACCCATTATTGCTAGGATAAATGATTCTATATTTTTATGTATTAACTGTATTTTTCATATACAATGAGCCCTCTCCCTTGGAGTTGGTTGTGATATTTCTCGCTAGCGTATTGATGCTCGTTGTCCCTCCCCCTTTCAGGTGACAAGCCAAGTGCCCGGAGAGTCACAGGTTGATGGCGATGCACTTTAGCTTCAGCTGTCTATTTAGTTATATTTTATTTATGGAGCTCCACTATAGACTTTATTTAGACATTTGAGGATTTTATTCTAGATGTTGTAAAGGCTGTGTGTCTTATTTCCTTTACTCATACTTGTTGTATTTGAGACTTGTTAAGAACTCCAGTTTATTTATTTCAGACATTGACTTTGTATTTCTGTATGTTGGATGATGAAATATTATTTTGATCTCTATCATTTTATCAATTATCTTTTGTATTATCTTTTACTTGTTTTTGTACCTACACCTGTTATTGACTCTACTAGAGTGATAGAATTGTGATGGTGAAACATGTTGTTGCACGGTGTGGTGCATGGCAGGTTTGACATTCTTGGTTTCACCTTGGACTGCAACATTGTGTGAACCCAGGGGCATCACAGTGGGCAACGGGACGAGCTGGCTCCTGGCTCGTTCCCCCGAGCTAGCCCGCGCGAGCTCGATGGTGAGACGAGATGGCCCATGACCCGCAACGACACAAGCGTGCCATATTGTATCACTTGTTCGCAGGCTTAGACTTCATCCTATCCCACTCGCGGGACAAGATTAAGCGAGGCGGAGCATGACACGTGCCGGTCCGCCTAACCCACAATGTTTTATTTTTTATTTTTTTGGATTATAAATGTTTTTTAGTTTTTTAAATAGTTTTTAAGCATTGCTTAACACTTAAAAATTATATGTAATTAACTAATAATGCAACCATTATAGAAATAAAAAACAATTTTATTAAGTAAAATTGTATATTTGTATAGAATGACAGAGAGAAACATCGCAAACGTAAAATTTTTACGTGGTTCAGAGCAAGTTTTACTATTTTAAAACATTGGAATAAATTTTAACAAACTTTAAGCAAGTAAAAATAGAGAAAATAGGTGAACTTGCAAATAAAATCAATTGAAAAGGCTATAGAGATAATTGATGGTAAATTACATTAAACCCAGTTTAAGTGTTTTGCATCAAAACCCCACGAACTTTCAAAATCGCACTAAACCCTCAATAACTTTTTGGAGTTGTAGAAAACTCCTAATAACTTTCTGAGTTTTAAAATAAAAGGTATTTTGAAAGTTATTGAGGGTCTAGTGTAATTTACCCAAAATATGCTGTGGGTTTTCTACAAAAGTTATTGGGGGTTTAGTGTGAATTTGAAGTACAAGGTAACATGGGGATTTAACTGTAATTAGAAGTTCATGAGAGTGTAGTGTAAATTATCCTAATTAATAATATCTTTTAGGGTATGCGAGTCAACGAGACGGGTTAAGCGGGCAAGCCCGCTTACATTTAGGTCCAGCTCGCTCGCTGGGCTTGGTGGGCTAAGCAAGTTGCTGGTCCGCTTGTTACGAGAAGCCAACTCATCACAGTCCCGTGGCCCACCACTGTGCACCGAGCAGGGTCGAGCCGAGCTTAAGAACAAACCGATCAAGCGGGCGCATGAGCCGACCTTATCTAGTGCCCACCCCTAGTTAGACCTTGGGCCAAGGCTCGAGATTAACAGGCTGACATACTATTATAGTGCAATGAGTGCTTATCTTTAAACATGCAATAAATACAATAGGTACATATGGGGGTGCATTTGGTCTGGATAGGGCTCAGATATGATATTTATTGTATCCATATTCACTTACCCATCACGGATATGATACGGATAAGGATATACTTTGATAAGGAAAATCCATATCCATGTTCGCTAAAATCGAATACGGATACAAATACCAAACATATATGATAAAACTAGAAAATATTGATAAAAAATTATAGTTCATGTGATACAAAAGAGTTCATTAATATGTTCATTATATTGAAAAACTAAAATTAGACATATCAATCATCAAAATTAACCTCAAATCCATAATCTAAGGAATAAAACTTTTGTAACAGTGTCACTAATATGCATTCGGATGTTTCAAATATGGATCTAGATATTTCACTATAAAACCATATATAAAATTATATCCTATCAATTATAGATTTGAATAACCATATTCATATCTTAATTGATACAGTTACTGATATTTCCTCGAATACAGATATTGTTTAGTACGGCTAGGTGCAATGAGTGATGGTTTAGCACCCCTAGGTGCAATGGGCGACTTGTTAGTGTACGTACTTTTGTTCTAACACACTTTTCATCAAATATCAAAACCCTAGCGTTAGCCATCACGTGTGTTGTGAGTCAATTAGTCTAAACTCAATTTGGGTTGGGCCATACCCAGTATGAATTCGAGCAATAATAACCAAGTAATGGACAGTTTTGTGGCTTCCGCAAAGCTGTCTCAAATTGAATTTAAGGTCAACATAGTCTTATTTGTCTTAACAAGTGCGATATGAATCTTAAGTAATCTTCCGCTTAGTGTTCAATGCTCAAATGCTGCTCGCAAAAGACATATTGTTGCTTATAAGTACCGATCAAGCACATTACAACTCTATTGCATGAAGCAATCCGTTACATGTAATCTAGACGGTTGGAAGGTTTCAATATAACACTCACGGTTATAGCTTCGATTCTTGGCTGGGTCATTAATTAAAGAAAAAAAACTCTATTGGATGGAGCAAGCGTAGTTCTTTCTGGCCTTTTGAGAAAAATAATGTCCTCTGTAACTCATATATAATTAACATCAGTACTTTATAATCTCGCTCGCATTAACTTTGAAAGTTCTACAACTATTTAACCTAGCGTATTGATGTTCCAGTTGACTAGGGTCACATCATCTAACCACTGAAGTTAAAGGGATAAATTACAGTAAACCTCCGTGAACTTTTAGGGCGCGTTTGGTCGGGTAACCAGGAGCCCGAAAGCTGCCACCGATGGGACTGCGGTGGCAGCTTTAGTGCACTTTCCCACCCAAAAACGCCCAAACAAACAGCCCCTTAGTGTTTTGCACAAACCCTGAGAACTTTCAAAAACACATTAAATCCCCCATAAACTTTTCTGTTTTGTAGAAAGGCCCAATAAATTTCTACATTTTGTAGATAACCGCCAAAAAATTAGAACCAGAAAACAACATAAAAAAGCATTTTGAAAGTTACTGGGGTTTAGTGTAATTAACCCAAAAGATATTGGGGCTTTCTTGCAAAAGTTATTAAGGTTCAGTGCGATTTTGAAATTTCATAGGGGTTTACTGCAAACTGCGGAAAGTTCATTTCGTTCTGAAAGTTCATTTTGTTCGGTTGTGGGGTTGGGGGTGGGGGTGGGGGTGGGGCAGTGTTGGAGTAATTTACCCAAGTTAAAAATTACAAACTAAGACAGAACCAACGTCCGTAGGTGAAACCAAACACTTCAAAGCACTCAAATTGCAACTATTACAAACTAAAATTTGGCTATCCTATAATGACCAGTCTTCACACCCTCCTCTCTCTTGATTTTCATCCTCTCCTCCTCTTCCTGCGCCTCAACATCCACCACTGATTCAACTCGAAACTTCCCCATTCTCCGGTTCCTCTTCTTCGCATCCGCAACCTCCTCCTCCTCCTCCTCATACTCCTTTACCCTCCAGCTCTGAACAAAACACTCCAGCACCAGCGCCACAGAGCTTAACACAAACATCCCTACAATTGCCCCTTCCTCAATCATCACTAGCAACCTCACTTCTCTATTACTTTTTGAAGAGCCCAGAAAAGTAAGGCAAGGGCCAGGGCGAAGGAACAGAGAGAAGAAGCTAAGTGTCTGGCCTATTGAAGAGATTAAGAGGAGAGAGAGATGAACGATGAAGTATAGGTTGGAGTGGGTGAGATGAAAGAAGCTAAGAAGGGAGGAGAAGAGAGTTGTGGATGAGACGGCTAAGAGGGCCCACCCGAAGGAGGAGGGTGGGGTCCGGAGGAGAAGAAGGGGGATGAAGGAGGCGGTGGATATGAGCAAGAGGAGAAGGTTTAGAGAGAAGACAAGGAGGTTTGGGAGAGAGCAAAAGAGCCTGAGACTGGAGGAGCTAGTAGCCATTTTTGTGAGAATTGTAGAGGTGGAGGGGTATTTATTATGGATTTTGAGCGGGAGTGTGATTTGAAGGTTTAAACTGAGATGGAACAAGGGCTAATACCAAACTTTGCTAAAGTCTCTTTATGCGTTTTAACTTCACTTCGAATGTTTTAGCAGATGTTGGCATCTTGTGCTTTATGCTCTTTAATATCTTTTTCCAGAAAAAGTGGTGCCAATAATGCATTCATAAATTTCATGTATATTATTATTTTTGGCTGTACACTAAATAATCCACTTTATAACAAAATACCAATATATTCAGTTTCTTTTTGTATAAGAAACCCTAGAGGTCTCCCAATCTTACAAAATCAAGAAGTTAAAGAATTCACCTAACCCAAAATCCAAAAAAGTCATAACCTAAACCCAACAACACTCAGGAATTGTGTGATGCTGCAAATCATATAAATGGTTTAATTTTATAGTGAAGTTACAGATGCTTTATAAGAATAAATTATCAGTGAAACAACTCTCAAATGGAACGATATACAATATCATGCTTTGAGAAGGCAAGTTAAACAATATCATTCTTCAAGAAGGCAAGTTCGATTATTGCCAGAAAGTAAAATCATCCGGAATTCTAGCGAGGGCTAACATAAAATTCCTACCTCAAGTATAGAGATCCTGTCCATTAGTGTGCCGTTCCTTTCTGCGTGGAAGACTTGTGCAGCTTTAGAAGCAATGAGTTGGTGACAACGAAGATAGAGCTCATGGCCATCAATCCTCCTGCAAAAAATGAAGTCCCTATCATCTTGTGTCCCCTTAAACCTAACACATCGGTTAGCATAAAGAATACGCCAAGAAGAACAAGACTAACCAGAAAGTGATGGTGTCATGGCAAAGTCAAAATGTGGAAGCAATACCCCTGCAGCAATGGGGATGGCGACGATGTTATATGCCACAGCCCATGCCAAATTCTGACGAACTTTTGACATCGTCACTTGGGCTAGGGTTAGAGCATCTACTATCTGTTCAAGAGCATAGATAAGAATCAATAAACAACTAAAAGAGAACTGTTGCTTTCAGAAAACAGTTCCACCGGTGAAAGAAACACCAAAGGTTCTTAATGAAATCAGATAAATTTTCTTTTAGAGGTAGACTAAAAGAGAATAGAGACTTTGATTAAACTAAACAAACCATGTGGGACGTAATAGTAATGTCATCTTTACAAGATGCATGTATGTGCTCCACATCCTTCTGTACAGTAAGAACTTATGTTTCATGTGGATTGGAGTAAAAGTCACAATAGAAATAACCTCTAGTGGTCACTGGACAGATTATTCATGACCAGAATGCCCCCTGCAATGATCTCAAAAGAGCACTTGATGCTACATTTGGTTCCACCTATAGTGTTACAAGGATGCATTTCCGCTATTGATTTTAAGTCTCTCAACTGTCTGGATGTATTTGCTCAGACTTGATGTAAATAAAAAATAAAATTATCAGTTGTTCAAAGTCAGAGAGAAGACATATACTAATTAAGAAAGATCATTTGAGAACTACTGGAAGTAGTAGTACCTGAGAAAGCCTGTTTCCCAAAAGAAGTACTGATGCTGCATCAGATGCGGCATTCTCTTTTGCTTCTATTTGTAAAGCAACTCCAACATCCGCAAGTGCCAGGGACGGTGCATCATTTATTCCGTCCCCAATCTTAAAGGTGAAAGGAAATAGTTCAAGTCATAATTCAGCCCTACTAAGGGGGTGCAAATACCAATAGAAGATGTTTATGCAGACGTGATGATCTACCATATGCATAATAGGATTACCATTGCTACGTGATGCCCCTCAGCCTGCAAACTCGATATGATGCTTGATTTCTGTTGTGGAGTTAGAGATGCCTTTATACTTTCATCTTCAATTCCAACGATCTTGCCAACATTTGCCACTGCCTCTTTCCTGTCACCTGATAATAGGATTGTTTTAATTCCCTTCTCCTGAAGCCTTTCCAATTCAGAAGGAAAAGGGTAAGAACATTTATCTGGCAGTAGAAATAAAAAAACCATATACAACAAACTGTAAATTGCCAAAATTGTGGAATACTTGCTAAATAGTATAAAAAGGAAAGGGAGAAGATAAAGAACAAAGCTATGGGGCGATGGAATGTCCACAATGAATTTTCTCGATAGGAACGGTTTAGTACAAAGTAGACAAAATAACCAAGAGGTATAGGGTCACATAATTCTCACAAAAGAACATTCAGCTACCTACTGTTAATATCAAAATGCGAACAAGATTAAATAATGAGAAATATCAGTCATTTTAATTGAATTTATACCTATAAACTGTGGATTTGGCGTCAGGACGGAGGACATCTGATATTGCTATAGCACCAATTATTCCTTCTCCTTCTCGTCCAACATAAACTACCGAAAGTGATTGGTTTGATGGGAACATCATTTCAGATGAAAGGTGTGCTATATGATTCTCTAGATCCACCAGCTCAGATTGTGTTGTTTTCCTCTGAAAACGCTCGTAAACCCAATCCATTGTACCAACTGCTACCAAAGAACCATCAACTTCCGCTAAGGCACCAAAACCAGGCTCCGTTAACTGACCTCTTGTACTGGGGAGTTTCAAATCCATTAGTTCTGCTCTACTTAAGATAGCTTTAGCAATGGGATGGGATGCTGTTTTCTCCACTGAAGCAGCTAGCCGAAGAATCTCATTTTCATCATAAGTGAAGGAAGCCATAGCAGTAACAGTAGGTTTTCCTTCCGTAAGTGTCCCTGTCTGTAGGTCAAAGCAAATAGATATCAAGAAAAAAGATATTAGATAGTACAGTCTAAAAGTGCAGACAGGGATATCCAAATGTCTGATATGAATGTAAATCATGATGTATAGTTCTTTAAACACCATGTTCTGGAAGTGTGAGACTCAAGTTAGCTCAGTATACATTTTTAGCCCACAGCTCAATAGCTTAATCTTCTGGGTTAACCATATCCCGGTATGATATCAGAGTCTAGGTTCGAGGAGGCCCTACGTTCAAACCTTGTTATTGTTATTACAAACATAATTAACCCCCCCCACACACACATACACACCCAAAACCTTGTTATTAGTTTTTCAAGAAACTTCAGCTCAAGGCCTTTCTATATGGTCCTGCATCCCATGAGATGGGATGAGTTATAACTGCTATTTGGTAAGTTTGGATGATAAACAATGTAAACCCCAACTAATAAGTAAATCTTTCGGGTAAAGTGGTCTTCTGCGCATCCAAAGGTCATAAACTGATTAGTTATGAAGCAGGACACGCTTGATTCATCCTCCCCAGAAGTTCTCTGCATAAACTGTCAACAGTTCATTAAGGATGCCCCAACCATTCATTTCTCAACAAGGCTACAACATCGTTGGATCTGGAGTGTGAATAATAAAGTTGTTTACTAGATGGTGTATATACATTTGGACCTTCTTCAATAGGACCTGACAAAAATTGGAAAGACCAGTTCTGAATGAAAGATTACTTTGTCAAGAGCGACAGTGTCAATCCCAGCCAAACGTTCCAAAACATCACCTCCTCTTACAAGAAGTCCTTGTTTAGCCCCTGCATTTGGTAAAATTGCACTGAGTGAACTTCAGACCCATATCCCATGAGAATCAGTTGCATATCTTTGAAAGTGTTAATTATTTGACAGGACATATAATGCTTGATGAAAAGAGAGACATTTTTTAAGCACAAGTGCAAGCACGTTTGACTAGCAGTGCAGCCACATGGAAAACACAGTAATTAAGTATTGATTTGCCAAGATACAACTGCTACTCAGTTTTCTCTCTTCCCAATTATTCTTAAATCAGTAGTTTAAAATTGACATTTGGAATAACAATCTAGCCAGTTTCATTTATTGTATCCAGAAATTATAACCATACTGCCCGAAAAAGGGATAGAAATGCGCATTTTACTAAATATTCATTGTAGCAGTGAACTGTTGAATAACATAGATGATACATAAAACCCAAGCTTTATGATTAGAAAGGAATCATCATTGAGAAAGTAGTTATTTTCTAAACCTATAGAAACCATTATAAAGAAGCAGCTAGCTAATTATGCTGACAATTTTAGAACAAAAAGCACTTGGCAAACCTCCAATCCTCACAGACTACATGGCTGGATCTTGCAAATTTGACAAGATTTGGCATCAAGTTTCAGACTTGTCAACAAATTTCAAAATTTCAAAATTTTGTTTCAGATTACTGATCTAAAAATTTACTGATGTACCAATGACATATACTATAAAATAATGAATTTCTCAGTCCCAGACAGAATGGATCAGAAAAAGGGCAGTTTAGTCCACAAGGCTCCAACCATGCATAAATAGGAAAAAAAAACTTTAGTGTTTGAGGTAGTTAAGGAATCACAGGCTCTACCTAAAGAGGTTCCGACTAAGATAGCTGTAGGAGTTGCAAGCCCCAGTGCACAGGGACAGGATACTACCTGAAAAGTAAAGGAAAAATAAAGTGATTGACAGGACAAGTGCATAGGAAACATAGACGTAGTTTTTCTTGTCTGAAAAATAGCACACACAAATTATTTTAAGGCTAAGACGTATTAAAACCCGTGGAATTCCCATGTTTAAAGAAGAGTACATATAGGCAACAACATTGTTTTAAATATTCCCGACATGGCGCGATATATCCTTTTCAAGGGCTTGCCACAACTGATATGGTCTCTAAATATCCTTTACCACTTGTTTGGTATTTTGGGCCATATATCCCCATGTGGACGATATATCAGCTAATATATTGTCCATATCCTTTTATATGGCTTGTCGCAAAACAATATACCATGTTTGACAATTTTTGGATGAGATATCATGATTTTCCCATTATATCAAATGACATTTTGGCCTAAAAATCAGATGATGCTGCAACGTTGATTTGTATTTTTGTTTGTTTTACAAGGTTGACTAATGATCCTAAACATATATTATTTACGTTTTCTATGCTTAGATTTTCATAAGTATGTTAAGATAACATTTTAGTGCATTATACTATAAATGCAAAAATCTGTTATGACATTCTTATATTTACCACATATCTTCGATATATCCCTGATACCTACAATCCGATATGAATTTCGGCCATATGATATTCCCCCGATATCTGATATTTAGAACCTTAGGCAACAGCTTGCTTGTCATGTACGTCCCCACAGAACAAACAGTCTAGAGCGATGAGCAGTGACATTAATTCTCAAAATTCCAACATAGGTGGGGGTGTAGGCAAAGATATATAGTACCTAAGCAAGAGTACAAAATTGGAAAACACTTGGCTATGAATCATGTGTAGGAACGGAGTATCAGTAGTGTTCAGGTAGCTAGGCTGATTAAAATCAACTAACCAAGACAAAATCATACATTTGAAACTTTGAAAGAAATGACTCTTTTATGATTTAATTTTTTTTCCCAAATTTTAACTTTTTTTAATACCTTTCTTCGTGTGTTTCTTCTCGCCATACTTACAGCTGCCAAAGAATTTGCATAAGAAGGTTCAGGAGGACCGTAAATGATTTCCTAATTAACCCAGATGTTCAACCGGATCCCTTACATTCTATCCAAACTAGCGCACATTTTGCAGGCTAGTTTCTTTTCAGAAGAATACCCTAAGGTAAATAAAATATATTTGCCAGCACCGTTTACTATTTTATAACTTGATCCCATAAGTATTACAGCCCATCAACTAGATTCTGTCCTGTAGATATCAATTGTAGCTTGGTTCAACAATAAAATGGAAGTAGGAGATCCAGGATCTCAGTCCTATTAGTAAGCCCAGTAGGATACACATTTCTCAAACCATATTATTAGATGGATATGTAATTTATGAAAAACAGATGGGAATTAGTAAAATAGATGCTATTAATTGTTTATGCTGTGGGATTAAAACAAAATATTAGTGATAATAGTGCAAAAATATTTGTGAACATCTATGCTAGTCTAGTTTAATGTTTATGCAATAGCATCATAAAATGCATGACCAGATCATCAGCACTTACTAGTACATCCACAGAAAGTTTCAAGCTCAGGACCAATGAGTTTCCATCAGGACCTGCAATATCATTTAGCAACACATCTGGGAAGATATTCGTTCCAACGTAATACCTAAACAAGTTCAATCAAAATCTTAAGTTTTGTAGTCCTTTAACAATGATACTTTCAGAAAAAATGTGGGTAGAGTCCCCATGGTTATAATGAATTTCCTTGAAGCATATACACATACATAAACATATTTTAGTAGTAAAAAACACAAACCAGAAAGCAAATGTTACAGCAGACACTGTCATCACACTGTACACAAAAGGCCCTGCAATTGAATCTGCTAGCCTCTGAATAGGTGCTGCATGAGACTGCGCATCCTCAACCTGTAAAACAGACACTATAAATATCCGACCCTGCACCAAAAGTATGCTATCTAACACAAAGGAACACTCAGATGCTAACCATGCGAATAATTTTAGAGATTGTTGACGTAGCACCAGTTGTAGATGCTTCAACCCTCAGAGGACCATCCTGGGGGGAAAACATAAAAGTGAAGCGTAAAGTAAAAACTTTCCACAAAAGAAGTTACAGTAAGATCTTAAAGCATCACCCATATGAACTTTTCATTCATGGAGTTATTTAACTTATTTATTCAGCTAGCCTGATGAAATAGTAACCCTGATGTATTGTTGGCCTATTGGCAATATCATTTAAATTCATGTCCCCACAAAAGGAAAAAGAAAGCACCTTAATGCAACTGAAGCATAAAGTGAAATCCTTCCACAAAAGAAGTTATAGTAAGATTTTAAAGCATCACCCTTATGAAGTTTTGATTCATGGAGAGATTTAAATTTGTTATTCAGCTAGCCTGAAGAAATAGTAACCCTGATGCATTGTCTAGCCTGCTGCCAATATCATTTAATTTCATATTCCCAGAAAAGGGAAAATAAAGCAACTTAATGCTAACGAAGTATAGGTAAAAAGACCCAACATGGCCATCGCAGTTTAAGCTGTATAATAAGAATTTAATCCAAATGCACTATCCAATCAAACTCTATAGTGTATAATATCCTTATGTCAGGTAGGCAGGTCTAGTCCTTCTTCATAGTAGGGATTAGGGAATATACAATAAAATTAAAGTTCAGTCAATTGAATGGCAATGTTCCTAAATAATTGACACGAGATTGTAGGAGTAACAAAATTATGAGGTTGCATGAGTAGGTGAAAGAGCGGGAGGGCCATACCCAATTAATCGTTCCTGCAGAAACATGTAAGCCTCTTTCCTTGAATACTGGCAGAGATTCTCCTGTGAGCATGGATTCATCAACAACACTTCTTCCTGCAATAACTTTACCCTGTAAAGGAAACAACAGAGATTGACCACCATACATTTTACTTAATAGTTGAATTTAGAACAATGTAAAGTGCACATAGAATTTAGACAAAGTGAAAATGTATAGTTTTTTTAAAGAAAATAGCAATATGAAAGAGAAATATAGACCATAGGAAGCTACTAAAGACTGACACCTCTCAATTTTGAAATCAATTAGGAAAGGAGCCGAATATGCTAGCAATCAACTACTAGTTAGACACTATAAACCACGTAAATAAACATATGAGTAACATACATCAACAGGGATAGTCTCCCCAGGAAAAACCAAGACCGAGTCTCCAACACGAACATCGTCAATGGGGACTTCAACACTAATTGAATCGGCCATCAAGACACTGTCAGTTGCAGGAGCATCTTCAGAGGAGGTAATTATTAATCTTGACTTAGACGATACAAGTGACTGCGAAAAAATTCACCAAGTCAGCACGTAAGAAGTGTAATTTAAGAGAGACATCAATATAAGATTTGTCATCATTGAAATTTAAGGAGACATCAATATAGGAGCTGTCATGACTGAATCATTCTAGTCTATGTGCCGAATGGACGCAATCTGGCTTTTAAATCTCATTAATTTGCTCGAGAAGGATGATTGAGACGAAAAATATTCATCCACCAACTCTCAGTGGACAGTTGTTTTTTCGTTTTTCCCTCAAAAAATAACAGGCACACATCACATTCTCTCCAGTTCAAGAACTTCAATGCTTGGCATGTGGCAACGATGGAACAAAGAAAAATAACAGATCGAACCACGGGATCAAAGATGGAATAGAAATCATGCAAACCATAACACTTACTAGAAGTTCATTCATGTCACTAGAGGCCTTGAGCCTAGCACTTTCTTCAAGAGAACGGCCCAGAAGCACAAAACCGAGGAGCATGACCTGCATACTACAAAATAACTTTCTACATGAAAAGAGTTTACTATACAAGTTTAACAGTTCTACTACAAACCACAGTATTCTCTAACTTCAAATACCAAAGAAAGGGGGGCTGTTGGACGAGATGAGACTGCTTTAAGAAACAAATTATATGGTTCTAGTTATCCCATTAAAAAGGAAACTTCAAATAATGAAGACCATACTGGCTAAAAGAAATATAAGTGCTGATAAATCACTAAATAAATGTTTAAAAAAACATATCCCATTAAAAAGGAAATTTCGAATAATGAAGAACATACTGGCGGAAAAGTAATACAAGTGCTGATAAGTTATAAAATGAATGTTTAAAAAACATATAACAAAGAACAAATGGGTAAAGAAAATGGAAAAAAGCATAGAAGGGTTGTATGATAATTGAAGCACATAAGAAATAGTATCATATGCCGTCAAGTCGTACTAAAGATACTTAGATAAAACCCAGAAGTAGGGATGTGCTTATATGGCTTTTTATCCAACTAAATTTTTTAAGGTTAATGATTCTGCATGTACATAATTTGCAAAAACTGATATTTTGGTAGGCATAAAGTAAATGGAATGCCCTCAGGTCCAGCCTAGCTAAGAAGTTAGAAGTCGTACTTGTATGGTAACAGTGACACATAGAAGCACATACAAACAAATCAATGGACATGTGCACGCACACAACACATGCACCCTTGCGCACGCACGGGCACATACGCATATCTGTATGCATATGAAATCTATGTTGGTGTACGAACAACAATATCTAAAATAATTGAGATATCAATTCAGAGATTATAATTTTTTGTTGAAAAGGTCCAACCAACTTCATCTGCATGTCGTTCCAAAAAAAATAAACAATAGATGCATCAGTAAATGTTAAAACAGTGTCCAACAAGATTCACCATGTGTGTGTGTGTCTCGAAAAATGGACACGACAGTTATGTGTCCTACAAATCATAGCCGGATACTACCTTATTCAATTTATAATCATGCAGTCGCTGGGTATATTGTTGGTTAGGCGTGTATCGCATCTGTCAGTTTCGAGTGAGTCTGTTAATAAAGGCAAGCTACAGTTTAGTCCCATTTTGGAACAAGAATATGCCTGATTCAATATCTTTTTTTCAAGCCAATAATGAAATTCTGAGTTTGTTTCTGGGCATTTGGTTATGGTTTAGACTTGTAAATGTGGCTCCGAGCCTCTAAGAAAGTTTGTTTCTAAAGTCCATGGCTAGATGACCCTAGGCTACTGTTATAACTTATAAGAGAGTATGAGTATTAGTTTAGTATTAGTTTAGTCCCACATTACATGTGGGACTAATTTTTAACTAATCCATCTCTATAAATAATAAAGTATAGAGTGAGGGAAAACTCTCCCAAGAAACTCTTTTCTCTCCAAATATTAACATGCTATCAGAGCCTATCCCTAACCCTAACCCTAATACTAATCCAAATTCCTAGCCTAATCCTAACCCTCCAAAACCCTAGCCGCCTCTCTCCAAAACCCTAGCCGTCAAAACCCTGCAACCGCCTTATCGTCCTCATCTTTCTCGTCCTCGCCATCGTCATCACCCTCATCTTCCTCGAAAACTCCTCGTTCTCGTCCATCCGATCCACATCCTCATCCTCGAGCTTCTCTTACCCGACACGACAACTCCCACCCGACGTCGCTCGTCGTTGATGACCGCCGCCACCATGAGGCCTTCGCATGCCACCGCCATGCCCGCCGCTCGCCGCTCTCTTTTTGTTTTCGGATCTGAATCAGATCTGCTAGTTGTCCTATAAAAAAAACACCTTCGAGTTCCATCTTAATATTTTAGGTTTTTGATCTTTAACCTTCGGGTTCTTGCACTTTAACCTTCGGGTTCAAAATTAAACCTTCGAGTTCTTGGACTTGTTCAGCCTATTGGCTATTTCAAAACTTATTTTCTTGAGCTTGGACATACTTTGATTATTTCCATTTTGGAGTACAACTTGTAGAGGGTATTATCTTGAACTCTACTAATCTGTTTCATGATGGCCGAATCTGAGGAACTTAAGAATTCTGAGTTAACGATCTAGACGAAAGTTTCAGAGATGTTTTCTGATAGAATCACTGATCGAAAATTTGATTGAATTAACTATTTTCAGTGGAAGCGTGTTATTGAAATCTACATGGTAGGCCGAGGCAAAACTGGACATTTGTTGACAGACCCTCCTACTCCGACACTGGAATCTTGAACATTGGACGATAGTGTCCTCTTGCATCAACTTCTTAATACTATGGAGTCTAAATTTTAGGATTTAGTTTTTCATTGTATGACAATGAAAGAACTTTGGTATTTTTTGCAAGAACTCTATGGGGGTAGCAGCAATATTAATCGGGCATATAAAGTAATTCAAGAGCTGTTTCGTAAGAAACAGGATGGTAAACCCATGGATAATCATTATCGTGAGTTCAATCGTCTGGCTGAGAAACTTCATCAAAATTTTCCTATTACTAGGGATGTAAAAAAAATGCAGAACGCCAATGAAACAAACTTATGGTACTCAACTACTTGGGCACCCTAGATTTCATTTACTCCTCTACTCGACCATAAATTATGGGGAGCTCCGTCATTAGTTCTATGGTTGAGATTTGTCACTTTCTGAAGAACGCTGCCCCTGCACAGCCACTCACATCCACTACAGATCGCTCTACGCTTGCCACTCAGAGTTGACAGTCTTATGGACGAGGAAGTCATACTGGTAGTCCTGAAAGAGGTAGAGGAAACTTTAAAGGGAGAGGAGGTTACCATACTGATCGTTCTGGAGGTCGAGGTGATCAACGAGGTGGCCGTGGAGGTCCATCTCAAGAGAGACATGCTCATGACGATGACTTAGTGAAGACTTGTAACTACTGCCACCAGCTAAGATATCTCAAATATAATTATCCTGAATTAGAAAAGAAGAAGATAAATGGTGCTTACATGACTGCTCAGGACAACCTCACTTCATCTGATAGTGAAATTCAACCACAGTCACTCTTCCATGATGCAGTGCTGTAGCATCAATTTCAGCAATTTTAATTATTTCAACAGTACCAAAGTTCACAAACATCATCTTCCTCTTTACCCGCTACTCTCAAAAGTACATGTACTCCTTTATCTTTACTTACACCGTCTGTCTCATACTTGGATTATAGATACATGTGTCACTGATCATATGACTGGGAACCAAGGTATCATGTCATCTTTCTCTCCTACATCTAATTCAGTTATATTAGCTGATGGTTCAGGTACACCTATTCAGGGTGTCGGCAATACCAATCCTACCCCGAGTCTTCCCATTTCCTTCATATTCTATCTTCCTAGTTTTTTCTATAACCTTTTATTTATTAGTAAGATTACTAAATTACTAAATTGTATTGTGATATTCTTCCCCACACATTGTGTCTTTCAAGACCTGGTCATGAGAAAAACGATTAGGACGGGACATGAGCAGAATGATAATTGTAAACCGGTATTGGGCGCCAAATATTTAGCTTATATCGAAAACTAATCAGCTCTACAATACCACTGTCAGCTAGGAAAACCCTCTCTCTCTGTTCTCAAGCTTCTAAATCCTCGGTTCAAATCCTTTTCCTCATTAGAGTGTGAGTCGTGTCAACTTGACAAACACCATTGTGTGTCTTATCCTAATCGAGTCAATAAGAGGAATGCTAAGCCATTTGATCTTATTTATTCTGATGTCTGGGGGCCATGCCCAATAACTTCTAAATTGGGATTCTGATACTTTGTCAGTTTTGTGGATGATCACTCTCGTATTATTTGGATTTATCTTCTCAAGTTTAGGTCTGAAGTATTTTCTACTTTTAAAATCTTTTATTCTGAAATAGTCAATCAATTCAAAACTTCGATAAAAATTTTCCAATCTGATAATACAAAGGAATATTTGGATGACAACTTCACTAGTTTTCTTGAACAACATGGAATTATTCATCAGTCTTCTTGTGTTTATACTCCTCAGCAAAATGAAGTTGTTGAACGAAAAAATAGACATCTCCTTGATATTGCTCGTATCTTGCTATTCCATCGCCGCTTTCCCAAAGAATTTTGGGGGTAAGCTATCTTAACAGCATGTTACTTAATTAATCAAATGTCCTCTTTTGTTCTGCAAGATAAATTTCCTTTCAAAGTTCTACGGCCTAACAATGATCTCTTTCCGCTTCCTCCAAATTTTTTCGGCTCTTTATATTTTGTTCATAATCACAGTCCAAATAAATAAAAATTTGACTCGAGATCTATTAAAGGCATTTTTCAGGCTACTCCCGAAGGCATAAAGATTACAAGTGTTTTTGCCCATCACTCAATCATCTTGTGTTGTCTGCTGATGTAACATTTTTTTAAAGATAAAGCCGATCATTCTAGTTCTCCGTCTCCATTAGCATCGGATGAGTATGACGATTTAATTCTGCAAGAGTCATTGGTTAACGGTAATGGTTCATCCGCTGATAATACTATTTGCGCTACTGGCAAAAACTCGGCTAGGTTTAACGATCCAATTTAAGTTTATCATTGTCGCTCTGCTTCTGCGCACATCGGCCTCGACACTACGTCCTCTACCCAAAGAACCTGAATCAATAAGTGCAAATTTACTCCTTTCTGCGGAAGACCTTCCTATTACACTCTGAAAAGGGATACGAACTTGTACTCAACATCCTATTTCTAACTTTGTCTGCTATGATTGCCTATCCTCTACCTTTTGATCTTTTGTTACTTTCATCGACTCATATTTGGTTCTCAAGAATGTGTCAAGCCCTGTCTATTCCATGTTGGAACCAAATGATGCATGACGAAATGAGGGCGTTGTTACAGAATAAGACTTGTGATTTGGTCTCACTTCCACCAGGAAAGCGGCCCGTCGACTGCAAGTGGTGTACACTGTCAAGTTGAATCCTGATAAAACTTTGACATGCCTGAAAGCCCGACTGGTTGCTAAAGGCTATTTACAGGTGTATGGTTTAGATTATGTAGATACCTTCTCTCCAGTGGTAAAAATAACATCTGTTCGGATTTTTGTTTCGTTAGCAGCAACAAACCACTGGCCACTTCATCAGTTGGACATCAAGAATGCATTCTTTAATGATATTCTAGACGAGGAGGTTTACATGGAGCAACCACCATGTTTTGTTACTCAGGGGGAGAATGCGAATGTGCGTAGGCTGAAGAAATCACTCTATGGTCTGAAGCAGTCTCCGAGAGGTTGGTTTGGACATTTTGCATCGGTTATTCAGGAATTTGAGCTTTGTCGTGCATAAAAAGATCACTTTGTCTTCTGGCGATTTTAGAATAGGAAACGAATTCTGCTAGTTGTCTATGTGGATGACAATGTAATTACAGGGGATGATGCTTCTGGTATTGACAGCCTGAAGAAGCCTGAAGAAGTATTTCCAGACACATTTCCAAACCAAAGATCTTGATTCCCAAAACTACTTCCTAGGCATTGACAGGTAGTTGTCAATGTGGATGACATTGTAATTACATTGGATGATGCTTCTGGTATTGATAGCTTGAAGAAGCCTGAAGAAGTATTTACAGACACATTTCCAAACCAAAGATCTTGATTCCCTAAAATACTTCATAGGCATTGAAGTTGCAAAGTCAACGAAGGGTATTCTTTTATCATAAAGGAAGTATGTCCTGAACATGCTCTCAGAAGTCGGGACGTTAGGATACAGAAATAGTGATTTTTCAATGGATGTGAACTCAAAACTACTACTAGACTAGGGGAGCTTCTTGAGAATGTTGGGCAGTATAGGAGATTGGTAAAAAAACTAAATTATCTGACAATGACCAGACCTGAGATCACATTCGAGTGTTGTGAGTCAGTTCTTGTCCGCACCAAGAACTACTCACTTGGATGCAATAATGAGAATTTTGAGATACTTGAAAAAGACTCCAGGACGAGAAATTCTCTATTCAGATCAAGGACACACCATAGTTGCATGCTTCTCTAATGCAGATTGGGCTGGATATCCTTTTGATAGGAGATCGACTCCTGGATATTGTGTCTTTCTCGGAGAAAATATGGTGTCATGGAAGAGTAAGAAATAAAGTGTGGTCTCGATCCAGTGCAGAATCAGAATACAAAGCTATGACAAATGTGACACTAGAGATGGTTTGGATCAGAGACCTACTGACAGAGATTGGTCTCCCTCCAGAATGTCCCATGAGTCTATATGACGATAATAAAACAGCAATTCATATTGCTGAGAATCTTGTGTTTCATAAGAGAACTAAGCACATTGAAGTCGATTGTCATGTAATCCGCAAGAAGCTTGAGGACAAAATCATCACGGTAAATCATGTATCGACGGTACGTCAGTTGACAAACATTCTTACAAAACCACTTGGTCGAACATCGGTTGACTTTTTATTTGTGACAAGTTGGGCATGCATGATATATATGCTCCAGCTTAAGGGGGAGTGTTAGAAGAGAGTATAAGTATTAGTTTAGCATTAGTTTAGTGCCATATTGCCTGTGAGACTAATTTGTAACTAATCCATCTCTATCAATATTAAAGTATAGAGTGAGAGAAAATTTTCCCAAGAAACTCTTTTCTCTCCAAATATTAACAGTTACAAATACTGTGAACATTTTGTTGGCACAGGTTTAGAGCTCAAGCTAGAGAAAACATGTTCCCACATTTTGCTACTTTGTACGACTAGATCACGCATGAGTACAACAATAAATAGTTTAGACAACATTTTAGAATCACAAACAGAAGTTCTAGTTCAATAATTTGAATAACACATATAAATCAACATAGCAAAACATGATCGACTAGAAATAGAGAATGGTAATAACACAACTCACCGGTTCATCAAAAAAGGATGCTTCCCATTCAAGCCCAGCGTTTAATAATGATACCTACAGAGACAAACAAGTATTCGAACGTTAAGCTGGTTAACAATTGAATAGTCTAATAGGATAAGGATGAACATGCAACATGCAAATTGCAAGCTTGTAAAGAATTTAGGTCAGGTAAAGTGAACCAACTGCACTGATAAGGAATGCGGCAATTGATCCAAATCCAACAAGAGAGTTCATATTTGGTGATCCTTTAGTGAAAGCACTGAGGCCATCAACTAGCAAATCTGCAAGGCAAATAAACTGTCAAATGGACAACATCAACATCATATTCATGGAAAATTACCAGAAAATAAACATGTATATGTTATGTCCAAGTACAATATGCTATAGGTGTCATTAAAAAATTCATCTGATACTGTGTTTTGAACTGAAAATTTTACTTAATGAAAAAAAATTAGTAATGCTGATTTTACGCTAAAATGGAGGAGCCGGAGCAATCAAACCACTAATCAAGAAGATTAATAACACTGTGACTATTGTTACTGGATAGTTCTGCAGGCAACATTCTAACAATGCTGAAATCAGATCCGTCTTTGTCACTATTAGCACCAATCATCTGCACTAGGTCTTCCCTAAAGAAGCTAGTGGTTGTCTCTCTGATACATGGAAACAAGATATTCAAAACACCCCCTACTATAGCTAGTTCTGCAAATAAATTAAGTCTAGTCAGCAAAGCATTAGATTCACCCCTTCTCTTCAACAAAAAACTCCTCTGGTTTACTTTTTCATGTACGGCACTTAAGTAGATGTTTCAAAAATAAAATAAGCATGTTTAACCAAATATTATTTTTTGAGTCAACATTCTCATGCCCTACCATGTTTAAGACCCTCAGCTGCAAATGCCTGGCACAAACTCAAGGATCGACATTCAAACAGTTGCATTTTTTGGTCAATAAAATTTACCTACATTTTCAAAAGAAACTTCCTCAGTTTCTCTCTATAACCAACCTATCTACGGGAAAAGGCTTAGATGATGATAATAAATGTACATTATGAAAGAACATTAAGCAATTTTGCAGCATTACTAGTAACCAGATTATCTTGTAAGTAAAATCTTACAATGTAATGAAAGCAATTTTGTGAATATGTTCCAAGTGGCGCTATGACTTCATCTATTCCTCATGACATAATATGATTCCATAAGCAACCTTCTTCTAGACTTGAGTCTAGAATAATTCTAGACTTTCCCTGGTTACCAGAGCATAAACAACGTGAACAACAAGGTAGGTTTCCCTACCATAACTGAGCTTTCTATGGCACATTACAAGCTCTTCTTATGCATAGTTTCCTAGCAGAAATTTACATTTATTAGAGGTTTGATAACCAGATGACACATTGCAGAATTTCGTCAGCCCTTTCATGGAGATGGCCTTTAGCTGATCCAATTTTGAAGAGATAACGTAACCATGATAATGATGAGATAATGATGATTGTTAATGTAAATTCAGTTTGCATCTCATCAAAAAATGGACCATCATCTGAGTATAAGTAATGGTGAAGTAGTATTAAAAGAAGAAAGAAGTTATCATCTTGATGAGCAAAAGAATAATTCAATTGACCATCCTGTTGATTAAAAAATGCCACATCCACAGGCTATTCACACTGGCAAAAATCTTATAATCAGAACCAACAGGATGAGTAACACGGTGAGTTTACCTCTACCAGGACCAAGCAAAGAAACCACCGCAATACCACATCTCAGATAAGAGTTGTGCAAGATATCCCAAAAAGGCCCTGCATCAATGAGTTGTCAGAGAAATTACAAATCTAAATATATTAAACAATTTGACTAATAATTCAATTCTCAGTTGTTTAATTAAAAGAATGTAAAATAGAGGCATGTAAAGAGGAGGGAAAATTCTCTGATCTGTGGGTGAACAAATTTCGTAATCATATTTGGAATTCTGAGGCCTAAATTGGCAATTTCTTTGGGAAATTGCTTCCTTTTAGAGGTATGATACCTCTAGGCACACATGTGTACATGTAAGCATGCAAGAACCACTTCAAAGATGATCCTACTACTAGTTTGATGCACGAAGCTTTGTTCAGTTGATTGTAATGATCTATGATTCATTAATTTTGGTATTAACATTGAAGGAAAGACCTATAGGTTGTTCTAGGACAAGGCTCATAATAAGGTGAAAACAGAAAAAACATAAGCATGACTTATACCTATTCAAGGACACAAGCAACACAGGACCAGTGTTTATCCCCTGAGATTGAATTTTTTTTAATTTCTCACTCAGACCCTTTGGATTTGTATTTGTTGTGTTAAATACATAAGTTCCATGATGTAGTTCACTGCTTTAAAATATGGAATCTACTTATTTCATTGCCTTATAATTCTTAACTTGCGGATTAACTTACCATGTGTTTCGATGATGTATCAAAGTGAGTTAACTCCAGTATGCCACGTTAATTAAGGTATTCTCATATTTATGTCATAGTATAAGGAAATTTTCAAAACCAACCTATTTGGACTTTTATTCCCAAAAAAAGACCCGTTTCACATTTATTTAGAGAAACCGACCTGGTTTCAGCCTCAGCGCTGAAACCAGGTCGGTTTTTGAAAAAAACTCTCCGAAACTTCACGGGAGTTGAACTCCCGTGAAGTTTTTTGAACTACGAAACTTCACGGGAGTTCAACTCCCGTGAAGTTTCGGAGAGTTTTTTTCAAAAACCGACCTGGTTTCAGCACTGAGGCTGAAACCAGGTCGGTTTTTGCAATTATTTTTGAATGGGGTCGTTTTTTGGGAATAAAAGTCCAAATAGGTTGGTTTAGAAAATTTGTCCCATAGTATAAATGTCACTAATATCAAACGCTTCCAATCAAACGACTAAGCTGCATTTTTTTGGAGTAAAGCCATGGCCTCACACAAAGTTAATTCTCGTTGCTCTCCATTCTAATTGTCATGATAGGGAATATTTGTTTGCACTATATCATAACCTCACAACACCAATTCGCGAAAGAATTACGTTTCTACAATTAAATCATAATTCAGGGAGTAATATGCCAAAAAAAATCTCAAAACTAGAAATATCTTACCATGTGCGACATGGATCCCAACAGAATGAAGCAGATGCGAAGCGTGCGAACCGCAGCACAAAGCCACAAGCGTCCACGCGAACGCCACACGATTCCTGCTCCGATTCAGCAACTCCTCCTTCCTTTCCTTCATTTCCTTCCACTTCTTCACATTCTCCACAACCCCAAACCCTAACCTCCTCCTCTTCGACGGAAACCCTAACGCCGTCAACTTCCCGGCGAGCTCCTCCGCCACAGACTGACCTCAGCTTCACCGCCGCCGTAATCCGCAGCACGTTGACGAACGGCGAGTCGACGCGGGAGTCGGAGGAGAGGGTCGATCTGACACGTGCGGCGCATGCGCCGCACATCATGCCGCTGACGTCGAGGAGAATCGAGGGAGGGCTTTGAAGAGCTTGCTTGCGATCATCTGCTGGGGAGCGGATCTCGACGGCGGCTAGTGGGCGGAGAAGTCGCCGGCGACGGCGGGGATGGCGGGAAAAAGACGGGGTTATGAGAGGGAATTTAGCGTTAGGGTTTGGGGAGAGAGGGATTCGAAGGAGAGCCGTCGCCATTGGGGGCGAGAGGAAATGGCTAGATTTTGGAGGGAGGGGAAGGGGGTTTAAAAGGAGAGTCGGAGTGAAGTTTTGAGTAGGAATTTTTGTCTAATCTGGATATGATGACGTGGCAATATGCAGTAGGAAATGTGAGGCTATTTTTGGCCGAGGAAGTTCGAGCTCGTTTCTCATCGGCCACATGATTTTGATGAAATCAGATGGAGTTTTCCTATACTACTCTCCCAAATATTTCATATTTAGTACCCTACATCTCCATGATTTAAAAAGTTCCTCCAAACCTTTAAGTGTTTTTAATTAGTCTCCTACATGTTAATATTTTAAAGAAAAATGCATCAGGGACCCCAAAATAAAGGATCCTGCGTGAGACATGTGAGTGTGTCGCCTCCCCGTCCCGTGATACACTGTTCATGTGTCGCCTCCCCGTCCCGTGATGCATTGTTTATGAACAGTGCATCATAGGATGGGGAGACGACACCTCACGTGTTCCATGCATGGTCCCCTATTTTGGGGTCCCTGTAGCAGCACTCTATTTTAAAATTTGTCCTACGTATTTTGGCATCAGACGCCAAATATTTCAGCCTGGTGCCAAGTAGAGGGACAAATCCAAAATGCTTAGAAGATTTGGAGAACTAATTCTAAACACTTAAATATTTGAGGGGCTAGTTCTAAAATATGAAAGATTTGGATAAGAAATGAGTAGTTATTTGGATTTCTTGTGCTCAATATACATTTGTAATATTCTTTCAACAACAACAAAAAAGTCCATTTTTAGCAAAGAGTTATTGCACCAAGAAAGAGAGAATTAAATAAGAAAGCGTTTTCTCTTTATGGAAAGGAGATTATTTTGCTAAAAGAAGTGAAGGTTGAAAATGAGATTTTGAGCATTATTCAGAAGAGAAAATTATGGGTTGAAATACATTGACTTAAAAATTGACACAGTTATATAACTCTAACCTAAGAACTGATGCAGACGACATTTTAGCCTAAAAAATTACAAATATGACAGACAAATAAGCCTATCCTATTGGCAGAGGTAATTTCCAAGCAAAAATTTGGATGGATTTTTTCCTATAGGCCCCTCAATCTCCTATATATATATTTTGGATTAACACCGCCCCTCCCATATTTTAAAGTTTGTATTAAAAAAAACTTCTTCTCACCATCTCCTCCCTCATCCTTCTCCGGCTTGAGTGAGAATATTATCATTTTGGACGGTTAAGTATAAATATCCATGTGCGCTCATCTAGAATTTCATATTTCGAGATGAGTATGATTTCCGAATTTCGAGGACGAAATTCTTTTAAGGGGGGAAGAATGTAGAACCCCGTAAAATTATTAATGAATATATTGAGTTATTAGTAGTAAACATTTCTTTTGAGATGAATAACCATATATATATTAAATAAATGTGATAAATAGTGTTTGGGAGCCTAGCAAGAATTTCTATGTTAGAGAAATCAAGGGGATTGATCAGCATGTGATAGAAGGCATAGCAGGCAGTTGTTCTGCTGTGCGGTCGACCGCGATGTGCGCGGCGGTCGACCGCACAGCAGTCGGGCACACAGGAGACTTTTCTCCTGCTGTGCGGTCGACCGCGCAAGGCGCGGCGGTCGACCGCACAGCAGGCAGAGAGTTTTTCTGTGTTGGGTCTTAATGGGTTTCGGGTCGGGTTCGGGTCGGGTTGTGGGGTTAGTATATATACTATCATACCCTAAAGAGCCCCATTTCTCATCTGAAATCAGAACCCTAGCCCCCTCTCTCCCCCTAAAACCCTAGTTTTCACTCTTTGGTGATTTGGAGGAGCTTTGGAGGGTTTTTCAGCGGATTTTTGGTGGTTTCAGCGAGAGGGATCATCTCCCTCCAGATCTTGGGCTTCGTTTTCGTCGTAGGCGAGTAACATCTCGCCCAACTTCATCCATTTTCGTTTTTATGCTTAGATTTGAGTCTTCATCCAGTTTTTATTGAGCCCAAATCGTATTTTGTGTAGATAAAGTAGATCTTATGGCTTGAGGTGCAAGAATCATATTTTTCAGTAATAAAAATGTCACTAATGATGTTTAATTAATGAGATTTTGATTTGAAACACTTTTATGAGAGTTAAACTCATTTTTACTATTTAAGAACTTTTAAAATCATGTTGTTTAAGGTTTGGGATTTTTGATAATGAGGTTTTAACCATGTTGATTAAGGTTTGGGATTGTTGATAATGAGGTTTTAATCATTTAAACTTGTTGTTTATTTCCATGGTTCACTATTTAAATGTTAAAGTAGTGTGAGTATAGAAATCCCCAAATTTTTGAATGAGTTCGGTAGCTGACAGAACCCAGAACAGGGTTCTGTCCGTCCAGCGGTCGACCGCATCGGGATAGGCGGTCGACCGTCGCGAATTTTTTTTAGCAGAATTGTTTCTGCCCTTTGGGCGGTCGACCGGCATGACCTCTGCGGTCGACCGTCGCTCAGTTTCTGTGGCGTCCGCCCGCCGCACAGTATTCTGCTTTATTTGTTTCTGCTGTATCGTACACTCGTTCGAGTGCTTACTTCAATCATCTGACTTTGATCTTCAGTTGTACTAAGCATCTATGCATGATAGATGGCCTGAAATACATGCCTAGAATCACACGACGAGTTGAGTGTGAGTTTTGCATAAGTAAACCATACCTTGTATATCACTAATTGCCTGCTCAGTTGCACAGTCCTCGTGTTGGACTATAATCCATAGAAGTCCTTGTGTTGGACTATAATCCATTTCAGTCCTCGTGTTGGACAATTATCCATTTATCTCATGAGTTGGGAAATCTCTATATCTAATTCATGTATTGGACATCTTTCTTAACCCTGCATGCGACATTTCACAGGAGTTATGACATGACACTTATGAAGAATATGACACCACATATATTGAGAGTATGATATGACACTCATGTCGAATACGACATGGTATTTATGTGGGACGTTACATAATACAGTATATATATATGTCCTGAGATGGGTTGTATTTCCTTTTTGCTTATTTCTGTGCACGTATTAGACTCCGGGTTTGGTACTTAGGGATTTTCAATTTGGGATACAAGGTATATACATGAGGGTTTCCTTGTTTGGATTATTTCGCTCGACGTACCTATGCCCGTGTTGAAACTTCATAAGTACCAAGACCCATTGTTTATTGTTAGGGTAATTGTTTATATATATATATATACTTTGTGATAACTGTATTTT